ACCGCTTGAACTGTATTCGAACAATACTACTCAATCCAAGTGGTATTAGATCAGTTTACACGATATCAAGGTAGAATAGGTGCCCTTGGGACAGAAGGAAACGTTCACATCGCGAAGCTTATCCGTTAGGGGTGTGAATATCGATAAATGTATTCGTTCAACCCGACGGTTGGTTTGGCCTATTCTATTTCATAGAAGCACTAGGCTGTGCGGACGGGTTTTCCGATCGTTAACCCTACTTGATGGATAGGCATGTTAGCTTGTGGTCTATATATTTAAATTCCTACCATGTAGCATCCTCTAGCAACGGAGAAGTATGACTTTTCCAAGACCAAATGTGATTCATAGTATATTCAAGAGCAGCACATGGCAAGAACTGATTACTAAAGAATTTTGTAACATTAACTGTGGGGATAAAAACATCCGGATCACGTATCTATGCGGTTCAAATGAAAAGCAAACCTGAATCAGTTAAAGCGTGAGTTTTTCATTCCACAAATTATCGCTGAGTTTCTGACAGTATTTGCTCCTCAAATGGGTTGCGTTTTAATTTATGGACTCTTACTCACTCAAAAGCCCCTGAAACGCAAATTGCTTCATTTGGATAGTCGATTCTGGGAACAGGGAGTGGGTTCAATAGTGAAACGTCCACCTGAGCATTTCCACATTCGGCCTGTCTGTATCTCTGTCTTTCTGAAGTATTATATCTATCTATCTATCATGAGTTGCACATGATTCTAAAATATTCCCTCGTTTGCTTCGAATAACGGTCGAGATAATTAGTTAGATCGGTTTATCTGTTCAATCATCCTCCGCCCCCGTCTCAGGCGCTGGCGTATGAGGTGCTAGTCCTTTGTTTTGTTTGTTGCTTGAGGGATATGTTTCATAGTTTCTCAAAAGTGATGGTCTCGCTAAGTAGTAGCCGATCTAAAGACTTTTTAACCATACTTGAGACGTGAGTCTCAAGTATGGTTAAAAAGGTTATTTGATAAAATTTTCGGTTTTATCTGTCGTGACAGGATTAGATTGAATACAGCGGTACAGCGGTTAAAACCATGATCCTTCGAGTGATGCGTTTCAGGGAAGCAAACAAAATTCATAAAACATCATCTGCACTATCTTGCGGTTTCAATTTGACTTGCTCGTAGTCGCTGAGGTTACTCAAGACGGGGTCACATTGCTCACCAGCTTGACTAGTCCCATAGCGTAATGACTCCTGTTTCAATTGATTGATAGTTCGCCTACTCCCCCGATCTTCCAGTCTGTTTCATGAATTAACAGAGGTTCAACATTACCATGAACCTATCGGAAACTTTCCTGGTTCGTCATTTGAAGCCCCAGAACTTAGGTTGTCGGTTTCCCCNCTGAACAGCAGGTCTTCGCGACCATATGGTCCACTCTGTGTGCTGTTCACCACATACCCGCAGCGATCCATGTGCAAGTCTATCTGCAAGCCTAAACTTGTGCTTACAACTTCCGGTAAAATGAGGTTGAATCAGATTTTCGTGAACAGTACTCGGTCAGCCTTCATGCACATTCGTGAACTCTACTCACACTTGTCAGCCGACAGTCACCAGTGATTAGGTTGTCCACGAGTTCCCTCCCCAACGTGGTATTATTATATGATCTACCTGACTGCATTTCCTGATCTGTTTTCATACTCTCATGCAAGGTTACGGTCTGACCGATCTTGTTCCCTCCAAGCCGAAAGGGGACGTATCTGATAGCACGAGTAATATGTAACCCGATCTACTCAATCTATAGACGTTAAACACTTGCCTCAATGCACTACAAGTCATGATGACCTAATGAGTACTCTTCATCCAATCGTTATTATCGTTATTATTTTTTTGGGTTGCCCAATAGTTAGATTGCTCAATCAGGTGCATGTTGTGCTGCGTAGACAGCGGTGTTCGAATACCGATAGCCTATGTTTATCATCCTGCCCTACCGGCCAGTTCTCTTGCCCCTTTAACAGCATCGGCTGTAGCATACACTCATCATGCACAGCGGCAGTGGAGGCGTCTCAAATCGGCAAACGCTAATCGAACCTTCAGTACGCACCATACAGCGACAATGGGGAAAATACCTCAGGAAACAGGTTGAAAAGATACCGTTCCACTAGCCACATTCCTTCTCAATTCATACCCCACATCACCCGTGGGGAAGATACCATCCCAGTTGTTTTCAATTACCTATTATCACTACTCACTAGTGTCGAGTTGAAGACCAGTCATCTGCGCCACAATTGACACGTTCACAACGGACGGCAAACAAAACAGTACATTATCAGTAAATCGAAATAGACAAATTCAACTAATCTGTAACATGATCGATAGAAGTCCACCTTTCGAGTAACGAGTTAATAAACTCGGTTTAAACGAATTCGATTCGTGGAGTTCCGAATTTCGTGGATTCTTAAATCAAGAATATTCTTTTTCATTATTGTTTGCACAAAATACTGATCAAATTGGTTCCGAAAGAGTACAGTAAGACTTGGCTCTCTTAATGCTTTCTAGAAGTGTTAAATACCACCATCACTCCCGCGTAACTTTCCTCAAGTTCTATGGCTACTTCAAAAAAGGAAATAGAAGAGAAAAGAACTCAATTTCCCATCAAGAGAACCTAATCGGTTTGGGTACCACCTCTTTGTTTATATAAGTAATGAAGTTCCCAGATGTGGTTGAGTATATTAAACTTTATACCACATTTCCGGTGTTGTTTAATCGGCCGCTCTCTGGGTACTTTCAATTAACTCTGTTTTTTTTAAAATGATATCTGAAAGGCCATAAGTGAAATCTAGTGATGGCATAACACCTGCCCAACAAACGTGTATGATTAAGCAAACATGAAATGTGTGAAAAATTAACCAATCAACGTTTTTAATTTATTGGTCGGCACAGTCATATTGACGATTCGGTTCGGCCGGATAAAATCGAGGTTTCTAT